TATTACTATGCCTATATACGAACAGAAATTAAAATAATAAATAATATAAAACACGCCGGGATCGTTAAAATAAAAGGATGAAAAAACGTCACCGTAAAAACCCATATTTTTTTGGTGAAGGGGAGGGGGGGGGGGCTTTTTGACATCTCGTTAATCCTACGAGTGCGGTTCTCACGTTCGGTTAATCGGTGGAGTCTGGAAACCTGAGTAGGTATTATAATTGGGAATATATTATTATTATTTTTTTTTTATAATATTATTATGTATTACGTAATCGGAGAAAAAAATATGCGCCGTAGGCCGTACCTACCTGTTTTTTTTAGATAGGACATTCTGGCAATATAAATAATATTATACGTCGGTTATAAACTATATACCTATCTAATCTATATGATAAGTCTTAACCCATTGAGGCATTAACATTATTTACCATTCGAGGACTCGCCTACAGAATTATCAAAATTAATTGTATATATATATACATAATAATATATATTATAATACGCCGGAGATAGCTGCGGTGTTCGTTAATGTCGAAGGTGCAGGTGGTGCTTAACAGCTTGATGGAAAAAAACGGTCTTCGTTAAATATTAGTTTTGAAATAATAATCCGACGCATCTGAACGGTCGGAATTCTGTATACCTATAGACATAGTAGTTTTATATTTTTCTGAAACTCATTATCTACCAGGTAGGTATACTGGTATAACAGGTACCTATAATGATAATAATATATATTCCAACGACTTTTTATAATACCACATAATAATATTATTGTGTCGAAATCGTTGTGCTGCACGAAACACATTGTACCCATATACTATTAGAGTGAATATAGACGACTATTTTGTATAAGTCGTCAGCGTATGTATAGCTGATATAAGCTGATCGGAATGGTTTTATGTTTTTTTTATATTACAATAAATTCTCATGCACCTAAATGCGCCTACGATTTTTATTTTTTTTAAATCGTATCACTAATCTACAGCGTGTCATTTACCTATTAAATTGATTGCATTTCCCGGCAATTTATTTCACTCTCAAATCCCAACTCCTGCAATACTAACCGCTGTACTATAACTATGCATACCTAATAAGCAGTGTTGTAAAAAATACTTTTAAAAAGTATTTGAGTAATTACTCAAATACTTATAAAATAAAGTATTTAAAATACCACCCAAATACTATCTATTGTAAAGTATTTGAGTATTACTCAAATACTTTTTAGAAGTATTTGAAATAATTTTCAAATACAAAACAAAAAAATACGTACGTATACGACATACCTTACCTACCTAATGTTCGTATTATATTTCGCTATGATAATATACTATATTGGTAGGTAGTAGGTACCGAAACGTACCGTTCCAATCGTCGTCGAGTGTCGACGATAAACAGACGGTTTCTCAGAGTAACTAATATTAATTAGCTATTAATAGACGAAAACTAAAACCAATATAGAATTGTTCATAAATGATAAATATATATTATAATATTATTAAGACATTATTATTATTTGACAATGAATAAAAAGTTGAAGGAATAAAAAAAGTATTCAATAAAATAGTATTCAATAGTAAAAAAATGTATTTAAAATACCGTTCAAATACTTCAAAAATAAAAGTATTTGAAAAAGTATTCAATACGGAAAAAAGTATTTGAATACTTTTACTCAAATACTTTTACTCAAATACTTTATAACACTGCTAATAAGATACATTATAGTCTAACAATACATAACATTATTATGACACGTGCGCATAACAATATATTATTGTACGTGTACATTTTGACCTTCAACTCGAAAAACTACAATAATAATACGTCTTGTAAATGTATTCGGAGGAGAAGGGCTAATATGCGTGCTGTGGGGTAATATTTCAGTCATCTATGATTCTCTGTGGTGCATTATAATTGAAGTCGACAACGTTGCGAATACGTTCAACTATAATAATATTAAACTTTCCCGCATAATACGAGTGTTCGGTAAATGTTCAGTCGACCGAAGTGCTGCGTAGTGCATGTGGAGAAAATTGCTATTTCATTTCTTTGAAAATGACTTTTATATTTTTTGTTTCTAGGTGAGTGGTTTCAATATTATATAGTTAATAGAAAAACGCCTACTCTACTTGTGTAATCGATCGTAAATTTATAAAATATGAACATATTATATTAATATACCTATACAATATTATACATTTATACCCACCTACTTCCATGATTTTGACAACATTTCATATTAAACGTACCTATCTATATGCATGTAAACTCCGCCACGAGTACATTTTTTTAGTGTAAGCTCAGCGAAGAAAAAACACAGGTAAAATTGTTTCCACGTAAACTCTGCCAGTGAAGAAAATCAAATAATAGAATGAAAACAAATAATTATTAAAAAATAAAAAATCATAATTTTTATAACAATCGCTCTAATTAATCGATAATAATAATTAAGCTATCGAGTATGCAAAAAAAATATACATAACAATAATAATAGTCCGAACAAATCATACAAATAGTAATGTCTATTACATCTAAAAATTATGATGGATAATTGTAATAACCATAAAATATGTAGGTGAGTATATGTTATGCTATGTTATATTTTTTTATGTTATACATTTTAATAATTTTAACTGAGAACTAAAATGATTTGAGACAATTTAATATTTATAGTTATTTCAACTATTAAGTCTAATGTAAATCCATTATTATAACTATTCATATCGTTCTCCAACTTTTTTTCATTTTTGAGTTTATTTGGCTAAGACCTATAAAAGGTATTTTAATTTTACATGAGCAAGGCCTTAATACCTGAAGAGTTTCCATATACCCATTACAGGTAAGAAAATAAAACTGGCGGAGTTTAAATTAGAACTTTTCATTACCTTTTTATCTAACCGGTATACAGGAGGAGTAAACAATCGCCCCTAAATGCAATAAGCATATGTCCAGCTTTACTTTACATATAATATTATATTGAACCGTTTGTTGATAATTTTCTGGCTATGGGGAATAGTGATATAAAAGATAATATGACAATTTGTTGTACTTACCGATTTAATAATTCCTGCATCATTAAAAAACCTCACGGTTACCATTCAAAACCGTAAATATTTTGTAATATACCTATATCTCTTTCTTCAATGTCACACACTGTTTTATATATTAATCCTTAATTTTTAAACTTCGTCGGTTTTTAAAAAACCTTTTACGATTTAAATAATTATATGATTAAAAAAGTCTATTTAGTAGGTATATTATACGTGATAAATAAAAAAACGGTTACCTACTTACCTACATAAATTATAAACATAAAACAGCCTTTTTTTATCATTATAATATACTAAATTTGTATTACTTTAAAAATGCGTGATAATTTCATTTCAGAAAGACGTATGTGGTATATACCTTATACATAGTATCAAGTGTGCGAAAATTATCGAGAAGACTTGAAAAAACGTGAAGTTTAAATATTTTAGTTTTGGGATTGAAAGATGACTTTTCATTTTGCGTGTGCAGTTGTTCAATATTTTTTGGCAAAAAAAAAGAAAAAAATTACCTACCTACCTATGTAATATAACCTAACGAATAATATTTGGTAATTCTTATATTGCTATCATATTGCTTCAAAGTTTAAATCTTGAACCATCTATACAGAATATTCGAATTTCTGTTACCAAGCAACAATATTATAAGTACCTACTGGGTTTTTCTGTCACTCTGCAGTAATAAAAAATATAAAATAATAAATGGTAGACGACCATTCTAAATGATTTGACCTCCACTATAATTGTCGTAGGTATTTATTGTCGTATTGCTTATGCGCAGTAAAAAAAGCTAATATATGTTGTAGGTATATATTATATTAATATATATTTAATGCGATATGATTAGTTTATTGTGGTCTGTGATTCGTGTAACGGACGTATTTCAATGATCCTTTAGAGGGTATTGGGACAGTTGCTTAGGGCGTTTAACACTTAGCTTCATTGTGCCTTCTATTATGTGCCAATCTCTCAGCAATTCAATTTCATTTTTATGTACCAATGCCTTTAGTATATTACATTGTATGTTCACTGACTTAAGAAACACTAAAATTCTAGGAAGGGTTAATTTTTATATTGAATCTATATGAACTTTTTAAGTTTTAAGTACTTTGAACACTCCCGGTACTCACGTGCAAGTAGTAGGTACAAGCTTATCATTTTTTAACTGTTATTTTGATTTCATATTTGCGTTAGGTCAGCTATTTAAAATTGTTATTAATCAAAAGTTGTATTTATTTAAAATAAAAATTAACGAATTAATGAATGTTTTAAATTTAACTATAAATACCTACTTTTATAAAAAAAATTTAAATACCAATACCCTTATTAGTTTATTTGTTAATGCATTTAGATAATATTATTTTTATATATAATATTTTCTGTTAAAGTATATAGGTATTACAAACAGTACCTATTAAACATTTCATTGAAATATTACAAATAGAACAATATTATAAAGTTATGTTAATAATAATAATTTAATAACAAGAAATGTCCCAAACTATTCTTTTTTTCAAAATTTTAATGTTTCGAAAAATATATTTATGATAAAATTTGAAAATTTTGATTTTGGACCTAAATAGTTGTGTGCCGTTGTGTCTCACCGTCAAAGTCGAAATTACTTTTAAAATAGGTCTACCCAAATACGTAAAGAGTAGGTAGTTATTGTTATTGAATATTATAATAAATATTTAAAAACCTTAAAATAAGTTGAACTGCTCAAAAATTTGAAATATTTCTAATAAGCCTAACTTGTCATAAAGTTACGCTTCAATCCAATGTAATTCAGCCAGGAAATGTATTGTTTCCTAAATCAGCGAACACACGGTACCTATAAAATGGTATCTAAATATATTTTATTTTATATATTCATATTAAATTTGATTAGTAGATTTCACTGCAGACTGTATATATATATATATTAGTAATATAATTATTATTGTTAATGACTGACCGTCGTCGACTTGGAGTCTAGTGATGATCGTAGATATCGGATAACATATCACTACGCCCACGGCGTTCGAGACAACTGCTGAGTAAAAGCTAACGATCCACCTCGGGTAGTCGTACTTCTCGTGTAAATGGGAATAATTTTCCTTGATGTGCTCGTAAGTCATAAGATCAAATCCGGCAAACAAGAAAATGCTTAGTGTACTGGGCCAGAAACCTTTGAAGAATGCCCACACACCTCCACTTTTGTAAGTCTTAGCCACCACGTCCATAGTGTTCGTGTATTTGCCAACAATGAGACGCGTTTTTACAGTCTATGGGTGAAAATGTATTTTTGTTATTAATATTTTAATTGGTTTTATAAGCTTCTGCTATATCTCCCCAAAATATTAAAAAAAAAAATAATCCCACAAAAATAATTGGATTTTGGTAATTAAAACAGGAATACTGAATATAAATTGGTTTTTTATATGTTTAATAAAATAGTATAGTTGTACGTGGTATTTTTTTACTCCCATAATAAATTAGAACAACAACATAACTTATTTTACTCATCCAAACTTTGACATTCAAAAATAATAATAATAACAATAATAATAATAATAATAATAATAACAATAATAATAAAAATAATAATAGTAATAATAATAATAATAACAATATAAAATAATATTCAAATTTGACTTTTCAAGATAATTGTGAACATCAATATTATAATTTATGATATCACGACAGTTCATCAAAAGTGAATTCTTAAAAACGTTTATTGGTCAAATCCATAATCCATAATCCATAATTCTTCAAAAATACAATTGATCAAATAACCCTTAGTTTTGTTTTGTTTAGAAAATGTATTTTTTTTAGGGCTTGACTTGCAATTAAAATATGATTAATTCGTTTAAAAATTAAAATATATACTTTTATATGAAAATTATTAACATTATTTAATACAAATATTATTTTCTTATTAATAAATTGAATGCAATAAAAATCCTTATTTGAAATTAAGAACATAAAATATTTTTATTGTTGAGAAGATTGACGAATTGTTTTTGAGCAACTGTCTGACAGATCTATAATTTATAAGACATATATACATTAAAATTACAAACATGTTTGGGGAACTATAATGGGAAGACTTGAAGTTGTGTACCTATCCCACAGAGCATAAAAAAATTTCCTAACTATGGTACATATATTTTCAAGAAGAATATAGTTATAAAAATATTTAAAAAAATTGCGTAAATAATTGGGAAATATTTAAGTTATATTCTTTAGCCAAGAAGTTCATATTTTTGAAAATGTGTTATGAAAAAACATTTACAAAACATTTTAACTATATATTTTTAAGAAACATTTTTAAGGAAATCTTATAAAAATAGTAAGTCAACATATTTATGCAATCATATTATAGTACAATATTTTGTTATAATGAGAAGAAAATATTATTAGCCAAATATTAATTATTCAAGCACTTTAAAATATTCAAAAAATATTATAATTTCCCAAATGCAGTGGGGGAAATAAAAGATGGGGTATTCAAAATATTTTCTAAAATGTAAATCTAAATTATCAACGAAAATTTAATAATCTAATATAGAATGTCAACAAAAGTGAAGAAAAATGCTTTCAATGTAGTGGAGTAGGTATGTGGATCATATTTTGATATTTTGTGCGCCCTATATCAAATAAAGGCTATTTAATTTGATCGTTCCTAAGCAGGGATATAAATGATATAATACAAAATATATACAAACGTTTTAATTTTTAATTAAATGTTTTGTAATGTTGTTTTCTTTTCCGTCGTGTGTTATAAAAATATAATTCCTCGAATTCGCATTTTCGTAATGCCATATATATGCGTAGTTCTATAATATAGTTTTAACAACACAATAATTTACAAACACTAATAAAAAACGTTGAAATTGCTCGAGCAGAAAATAATTGAATTCATTATTCCTAAAAGAAAAACGAGTTTCTATTTAAATATTTTTTGAGATATTTTTAATAAAATAAAAATGTAAGTATAATATCAGTCATCAAATTTTTATTTTTTTGTTATTCACTAAATAAAAAATATATCACTTAGGTTATTGTGAATATATAAGAATTTGAATGAAACAAAAAAACTATTAAATTCCCCGAAAACAATTCAAATTAAATTAAAAACATAGAAACTGGTAAATTATGTTCGGTTTTATTCTTTATTGTGTACAATTTTTTCATTATTGTTTATTAGACCGTATCGCGCTTATGAAATAGTAAGATAATATGAACAATAAATATTTGAGTATATATGTTTAATACTCTCGTGACGCTTTTGTGTATATTAATGGGAGTTTTTTTTATGGCCATTCAGTAAAACAATACTAGGTACCATGAATTAAATATAAGTTTTGTTTATTACTTCAGAGTTTCTGACTAAAAGCGCTTTTGAATTCGACTTTATTGAAAAGTGTATACAATTAAGTTAACACTTATAGGTATAGTATCAAATTAATTTAAATTTGATGTTTATTATAATATTCCAAACAGGAGGAGATATTTTAGCACAGTTAATGAGATGCTTATCTTAGCTTTTGTGTAAGCATGTATGTTTTGTGTACAGTTTAAAATTTAGAGAAGTATTTAAATCCTATACCCACTTAAAATATAACTATATTATTATAACTAATTATTAACTATACACCCGACAGTAAAACGCACTCTGAACCTTTTTTTATTATTATTGTTCTACGCAGTTTTCATATATTTTCAGGCGGACTATACACACTGAGCAGTCTTATATAGAAATATAATTTAGTTTTACAATATACATACAGTGGCCGTGGCAAAATCATAAAGATTGTGTTCACTGCTCAGTAAGTACCTTACGGCTATGTGCATTTTCATTTGTAGACTGAACTCAAATTTGAAATGACACAATTTCATATATCATAGTATTTACCGCTAACACCGCCTCACGACTTCCTCTAATATAATATATTATTTACTTATAACAAAGTTTTGAAATAAATAAAATGTGGCTGGATATTAGCATAGATTATCCGGTTCCACTGCCACCACAACTTTGAAAACCAGACGATCTTTCGTCAAAATCGAGCCTTTCGGGTCCGCCCCTGAGCATATTATACATAATAATATTATTTATTATATATTATATTACACAGATTCGTATCAAATGAGTAAGGAAACCGGATAATGTATTATAATATAGGTATAATGTTATGTTATTAATTATTATTTATGCCTACATGCAGCTCAGTGACTTATGGAAATTAAGTTATTATGGAGTGTTTACCCTATTCATATTAATTATGATATAATATAATAGGTAGCTACGGTGTAATATTACAATGCCGTAATTCTAATATAATGACGGTGTTACACTTCGTCACTTCCTTAGTACATAACTAAATGTACCTAAATTAATACAGAATTCACGCTTGCAGTATTGAAGTCTTGATGTTGCATGAAAAATAAAATATAATTACCATGCAGGTCAAAAGTTATACTCGTACAATATGTATAAGACGAGAACAAGAAAAACATATTAATTAGGTATCGCATCCGTTAGCTGCGTGTACATTAAACGTTAAAAAATGACCTTCGACGTGGCGATAACAAAGCGAGTTTATTATCTAAAGACTTTGTAGCGCGTTTATTTTTTAACTACAATGGTATTATAATATGATATTATATAATGGTAGACGAAAAAATATTACGTATAGACATCATCATAATATTGCAGTTCATAGAGTAATATGCCAATGTGTGCCATGACAAATGGTATTATAATAATAGTATAACACGGTGGGCCATACTGCCTATACTGCTTGTAACGGTGCATATATAGGTAGTGTGTTTTTTTACAATGGAAATATAATTAAATTATATTAACGAATAATGACCTTCGGGTCTTTTTGAAAAATGTATGTACAGACAACAACAAGGTCAATGAAAGCAAAACTGAAATTAAATTTTAAATCGCAGCCAGAAGTACGTTAACACAAATAATATATAGGCACATAATTATATTAGGTATGTACCTGCTGTACCTTTATATGGCCGTACAATACGTTCCTCACATTATAAAAACCGAAACGATTGCACACGATATATAGTCTAAATTTGAAGGGAGCGAAGAGTCTTTGTGGTAAGTCCCGCAAAATGTCAAATGGAGAAAAATAATTTCCCCCCTCCCCCCTCAACACGACATACATAAACAGTACACATGCACAGAACAAATAATATTAAGTTTCGGCATTGAGCACGATGACGGCAGCTGCAATATAATAAAACACTATGATAGTATTATAATACGTCGGTAAACACCGTTTATAAGACTCACATTGGGACCAGCACAAAGTGAGTCTTACATAACTTTGTAGGCGTATGGGGAAAAAACAAACGAAAATTGTAATCAGTTACCTATTAACTTTATTTTGCTACTTTTACATATTATTAAATAAATAGATATACTACATATTATTATATAGGTACACGATAATAATTGCGATAAGTTTGAAATGCAATACAATTTTTTGTACCTACGTTTGGACGTATAGGATATGCCAGGGGTGGCAAATTATTTTGACGCTGCATGGAAAAAATTAACTTATTTTTTTTTTGAGGGTGCCATTTAATTGTGTAAAATATAATATTATACTGAGATCAGTAAGTTATACAAATAATATATACATTATACATAAATATTTCAATTTTTGCATGCCCTCAAAATGTTTTTGAGTGCCATGAATCCCCCTAGTATATGCTATATTCCATGATTATAAAATATCAGTAATGACCAACAAAAAAGTATTTTTTTCTACGATTTTTCTTACGACAAATTTTAGTCTTATAACCAAAGTGATGAGTTATATAACCGCAGTTTTTTCAATGTATTTGGATACGTCCCGCCCGTTTTAGGAGATTTTGAGTCTAATAATGGATTGGGCCTTTTATCCATAATGTCTCTTATAAGCAGCGTCTACTGTACCATTTTATAAGTATGTCTGTATGAGTGTACATATTGTACTGGCTGTGGAGCGATCGGTTGCGTCAAAACTTGACAATTATAACATTTGTTGCAATTGTAAAATTTTTATTATATATTCATAAATTTATACATCAACAATAACGACAATATGTAGAATGTAAAAAAATATATTTGAACAACCCCTCCAGAAGTTGGTTTTCATTTACGCCTTTGTAAATACCTACCTACGATACCAGTATTCGTCTGTTTAAATTTCGGCATATTGGTTGAATT